AAGACATCGCCCTTGTTGATAAAAGGGGGGGGGGGGGGGGTCTGCTAATTTGCCTGCATGCAGTATTTTCATGATATTGTCATTACATGCAATTTCAACTACAGTACATATATTCTGTGCTACTTGTCAATTATCTAAAGCGAACAGAAATGTGCCATGCTGTCTTAGAGGGTGGTTCTTGTTAGTGGCTTCTGCCCTTTGGAGCAGTTATTGAAAGTGGCACAGAAGTGGAATTCTCATAACAACCAGGCTGTGCTGGAAAAGGGAAGCAGACAATTTTCTGTGTGAAATGGCTTTGGTTTGTCTGGATTTCATGAATTAGGCAATTTTAAGGTCACAGTTTAACATACAGGGCAGCTGTCATCTGAACTGCTGTGGATGCCTGAAAGGATCTCAGTGTGAAAATGTGCAGTAATTTAGCCCTGCTTTTTTCAGTATAATTAGTTTAATGTAACCGCGTTGTAATTAAACGGCCAGCCGGCCTTCGTGCGTCCCACTGGTCACTTGTATTGTGGGTGTGTGTGTGCCCCCCCAATCCCGAGCTGTTTTGGCGCGGGACCTGCACGGCGGTTATTGCGATCACATAGGGTGCTTCTTAGCCCCCTATGCGATAGCAATAACGTTAAGTGAAAACATTTTATGGATTTTTTTCTGGTACTTTTTTCATTATGTAGTAAAAAATAACCTCAGTGCTGCTTACATATCATCAAAAGAAAGCTCTATGTGTCCCAAAACAATAGTATATAATTCATTTCAGTACAGTGTTGCATGGCTGAATAATAGTCGAAGTACTGCAGTGCTGAATACCGAAAAATGGCGTGGACAGGAAGGGGGTGTAAACACCTGGTCTTCAAGTGGTTACAGCATGCAGAAAAAAAAATAAACGAATGAGAATTGGATTTTTTTGCTCAATAGAAAAGTTCAACTTTATTTCATTCCAATACCATACTGTTTTACTCTCGACAACTACCATTTTGTAAGCTCTGTGTGTTTTTTTTCGTTCCGTTTCAGCGTGCTCAAGCAGTACTTCAGGCTGTATCTGCAGTTCAGTCTACAAATTCCACTGCAGGAACTACTACAGCAAGTGAGACCACAATGTCCTCAGCACAGAGTCCTGTCCTGAGAATAATTATTGACAACATGTACTACCCTGTCACCCTTGACGTCCTTCACCAGGTAGGTGAAGATGCATCTTAACCACTTGAACTCTTTGGGCATGTCCTGATTGCCCAGCCATGGAAGTGGTCAAACAAAACCTACTGCTGGAGGAGTGAGCTTGTTTCTGTTATTTAGCAGCATGTTAAAGGTGTTTTAGTAAAGGTGGTCTGGGCGGCTGTAGAGCAGCCTGATTACTTTTACAGAACTGACAGTGATACCTATTTGCACTACTCTTTGTTGTGGTTATTAAAAAAACAACCCCGTTTTTTGATGCTCTTGTTTTTGCCTCAGATATTTTCAAAGTTTGGTACTGTGTTGAAGATAATCACTTTCACAAAAAACAATCAATTTCAAGCCCTTCTACAGTATGGAGACCCAGCTAATGCCCAACAAGCAAAACTGGTAAGTACATTTGCAGTAAAATTTTTAAAGTGAACCTGTCCTGGCTTAAAGAATGCCAACGTTGAATCCGGTGTTATTCTTCAATTAGTCCCTGTGGAAGCCCATTGGATGCTAGACTCTTGACTTCCCCAAGAAGTCCCACACCTACCAGTTACCAGCACATCTGCTACCCCCTTAGTGGACAATTAAATTGCAGGGGGCAGGTCTTAACAAAAATAGAACTATGGGAACAACAGTTGTTGGGCAGTGATAGTGATAAAGATGTAAGTGCTAACTAAATAACATTTGGTTGCCACAGCACTGTGTATAATAAAAACTTGCATTTTCTTTTTTATGCATCCATTTGCTTCCGATCCTTTGCAGCTCCTTTGCAGTTTCTTCCTTTTACATGCATGAACTTCAGCAATTGCTGCATGGCATTTCTCTGAAAGAGTTTCCTGATGGTGACAGCGGTGAAGCAAACTTATGTAATGTTTGTTGAAATTACCACATGTAGTCTCTCTCAGAACTTTATATGGCAGAGTGACAACTCAGGAGCACAATTGGGAGACAGGGATAAAGAGTTGTCTTCCTGCAACAGGAAGTAGCCAAACAAGGATCCATATGGCAGAATCAATATGTACAATTTTAATGTAAGCTGACTTTTGATATTGCATTAACATGATTAAGGCATATATGAGATTGTAGTGATTGGGTTTTACATATACTGCACTTCACAGTTGTCTGACCTCTCCTACCATCTTCTGAGTGTCGTGTGTTAAATCTGATAGTTTAATAGGGAGATGTTGTCCTGGACATGTCAAGTGTCAAGATAAGATGAAGCTAAATAATAGGACTATATAAATCCTTCAACAATAAGCCTGCATAGGTATAGTATTTATCAACCAAATTTTTAGATTCCTGCCTAATCCCAGACATTACCAGTTCTTTTCTTGGCTTAAAGTGTATTTCCACTTTCACAGGTCAATTGGTATAACGCCTATTTTCTACATTATTTGTTACATGTTCTCATTCACATAGCATAAGCTGAAAAAAAAAAAAAATGTAAAAATGCTTCTTGCAGTTTAAAGCCCATTTCCACCTTTGCAGAGGTATTTCAAAAAAACATATGCCAGCAATGAAGCCGGTATATGCAGTTGATGGATATGAAAACAGAAACTCAAATTCTTTTGTTGGCTTTCCTGTTCATATTCTCATAGAAATGCCTCTGCTTTGCAATTTCTGTTTTAAGCTCTCTCATTCATTAGTATTCATAGTAGAAAAACATCTAAAAGGTAAGATTTTTTTTATTTTAAAGTTATTTTTCAGCATGCTGTGTGAATAGGAACATAACAAACATATGGAGAGATTTTCTTAAATTTGACTGCAAAAGAGGAAATACACTTTAAAAGTCAAAAACCTGTATACACCCCGGGCTAAGGATTCTAAGGGTTCCTCAGAGATTGGTTTAAAGGCTGTGACGGGTACTTGCAGGTAAAACAAGATGCTTTCATTTTTGTACCGTCACCTTGGGCCTTTTTTAGGCCAGGTCAGGTTCACGTTAACATGGGACATGTAGCGGTATGAGTCAAGTTCCTTTAAATGTAATTGGTTTTTCAAATAAAAAAAAAATTATTGTTCATCCATTTGGTAAGCAAAGGTTTGTTTCTTCTTGAGTACCTTTGTCTAAGTTTTTGCTGTTTGTTTTTTTTTTTGCTCTATAATAGGCACTAGATGGACAAAATATCTACAATGCCTGCTGCACCCTTCGGATTGACTTTTCAAAACTGGTAAACCTTAACGTAAAATATAATAATGACAAAAGTCGGGACTACACCCGTCCAGACCTTCCATCTGGAGATGGACAACCTGCATTAGACCCAGCTATTGCTGCAGCATTTGCAAAGGAAACCTCTCTTCTAGGTATGCATGGGCTTCTTTACAATATCCCACAGCTCTGATGCAAATATGGTTTGTTTTAATTATCAGGTGTTTTATGACTCCTTTTTCCCTCACAGTGTGCTATTCTTTTTAAGGTGCTGCTGGAGCTCTGTCTCGGGTTCCTGCGTTGTTATCCTAATATGGTGGCGATGAGAGCTGTTTATATAAATGGCAAGGATGCGAGCGGCTGTGCATCTGGGCATACTCACATCCGATTACTTTGTGACAGCAAATTCTAAACAGCAGCTCATATTCACTGACTCTTCTGTAAATTGTTTTACCTTGCTGTAACTTTGGCTATACATGCAGCAGTTTTCTAGAAATTTCAGTCACTTTCATCCAGATTTTGACTGCTGGAATGCTTACATAGGCCTAGGCAATGTAACAACATCCCTGTCATAAAAATATGATTGTATAAACTGTTGGTGGTAGGTTGCCTTGATACAATCAGTATTTTGCTGTAGAAAGTAGGTTAAAAGTGCAGTTAGGTACTGGTATGATATAGTACTTGCTATTATGACTGTTTTTCCAGACCTCTATTCCTAAAAGATCTTAGTATCTGTATACCCCTAAAAGTTATCCGTTGATGCGACAATCTGTAGCAGCCATATTAGGGGACTGTTCCATATCCAGAAAATTTAAAGAACACACACTACCACCCACCTTATTTTGAGTAGGTCCTCCTTTTGCCACCAAAACAGCCCGGACCCATCGTGGCATTAATGCCACTAGACCTCTGAAAGTATGCTGTGGTATCTGGCACCAGGCCATCAGTAGCAGATCTTTTAAGTCCTGCAATTTCCACAGATGCTCATTTGGATTAGTTTCTGGAGAATTTGGAGGCTAAGTCAAGACCCCAAACTCATTGTGTTTCAAACCATTTTTGCAGTGTGGCAGGGTGCATTATCCTGCAGAAAAGAGGCCACTGCCATCAAGGAATACAGTTTGCTATAAAGGGGTGTACTTGGTCAGGAACAATGTTTAGGTGTTGAGTGTCAAAGTCCACATAAAAAAACAGGACCCAAGGTTTCCCAGCAGAACATTGCCCAAACCATCGCACAGCCTCCAATGGCTTGCTTTCTTCCCCAAGTGCATCCTGGTACTGGGTAAATGACAGATATGCACACTGCCACACATAATGTAAACAAAAATGTGATTCATCAGACCAGGCCACCTTCTTCCATTGCCCCATGGTACAGTTCTGATGCTCAGGTGCCCAGTTCTGGTGCTCAGGTGCTTTTGGCGGTGGACACTGGTCATGATGGGCACCGACTGGTCTGCAGCTACGCAGCCCCATATGCAACAAACTGCAATGCACTGTGTCAGACATCTTTGAGCTACTGTAGCTATTGCATTGGATCAGATTACATAAGCCAGCTTTCACTCCCCATGTACATTAATGAGCCTTGGATGCATATGACCTTGTTGCTGGTTCACCGGTTTTCCTTCCTTGGACTACTTTTGGTAAGTCCTGACCACCAGGAACATCCCACAAGAGCTGCAGTTTTGGAGTTGCTCTGACCCAGTCATTTAGCCATCACAATTTTGCCCTTGTCAAAGTCGCTCAAAACCTTATGCTTGCCCATTATTTTCTGCTTCCAACACATAAAATTGAGGGATGGATGCAAACATTTAAAACCTAGGAAATGTTGGTTTAATAACAGTAAACTGGATTATTTTAAGGGCCTTTGTTGGTGGTCTTTGGGCTTGTCGATTGCATCAGTTTAACATCACTTTGAGACGTTTCTGAGATCATTCAGAATTTATAATCGGGTGCAAATTTTGCATTCCCCTATATTTTGGTATTTGAAGAAAACAAAAGCCCGTGGACACAGGCCCAAACTATAACCCTCTTGCTTAGTTTTCATTATGATTATTTTGGGGTTTATAAAATATCTGAAGAAAGAACATGATTTAGCAACCATTCAGGTTGTATCAGAAAAGCTTGATGTCAATAATTTATAGTCAATAAGTGTTGGACCCCTTTCACATTGCTGGTCTGGTCTGGTCAGTTTTGAACGCGTACCCGATCGGATGCCCAATGTAAGTCTGTGGGCAATCGTGTGTAAACGGGTGGGTGTCTGTTTACACTCGGTTACCCCTGACTCCGGCCAGGTCCGGAAAAACAAACGGAACAGTGCTCCATTTCACCGGACTGGATCGTGCTTGATCGGGGGTAAACGTGTCTGTTTACATCCGATTCCCCTTAGACAAACATGGGGTCCGGTAATGGCAGTTGTTTCCTCCATTGCACATTTGCTTGTTACATACTTGGGCTTTGTTTCCTTCTTTGTCTAGTGTGACAGATCTATTCTGTGTGTGAAGTCTGGGTCAACTGAACCATTAAGAACCATTTCACTCCCTTTGTGGCCATTTTATCAACAGATGTTAAGCCATTTTAGTAGCGAATTTACCCAGTGGTTAACTCAAATCTCTACATATAATACAATAACAAAAATATTGAATGGCAAGCAATTTGTGATATAAAAATTGCTTTAAGGTAAACACTGCGATAACTAAAAATGTGCTCTCTGAAAATACACTACATTTTCTTTTTAAATTTTTAGTGCAGTAAGAAAAAAAAGGTCTGACTATAAAATCTGTTCTTCCTTTGCACAATGTTTTGGAAAAGTCATTGTGGTTTGGTTTTTTTCTGTTTGTTTTTTTGTTTGTTTTTAATTTCCCTTTTAATGTATTTTTTGTTTTCTTTTTGCAGCTGTTCCTGGTGCATTAAGTCCTTTGGGGATACCAAATGCTGCAGCTGCTGCGGCTGCTGCCGCTGCAAGCCGTGTTGGTATGCACGGTGTTCCAACGAGTGCAAATACTGTTCTTCTTGTTAGCAATCTGAATGAAGAGGTCAGTGAAGCAAATCTGTCTTAACACAAACGACATACATTACTCATAGACACTTTTTTTTATCCTCCCCTATCTTTTTTTTCAAGAAATCTCTTCAACTTTTTGTTTTGAAATAATTTAACAGTTCTAATCTGTTAACCACAGAATGTGTGGAGAGAAAATGAAAACTATGTAACAAGCTTGAATTTCTTAAATTTGAATCTGGTTGGTCCGATCACCTTTATTGTATACAGATGGTGGTGGTCATTGCAGTGATTGGTTTTTATATATTTATATATATTCGAGGCACTGTAGGTAAATATTGTCGGGATCCACCCCGCTGCCTAATTGACAGCTGTCAACAGAGGCACAGCCAGCTGTGCCCGCTCCCTCCCCGTCTGTCCCTCCAGTCAGCGCTGGCGGCAAAGAGAGGGGGCGAGGGAATCCCTGCGGGGAGTGGTGACTGACCGTCACCCTTTTTGCAGGGAGAAAATTGTGAACTGAGTGATCAGCGGTTTGTGATCAATCAGTTCTCGATCAGTAGTGCTGACATGACATCTGCAATGTCACAAGTCGGCTCTAACTATGGGGATGAGTGTGTTTCACTCTGCCCATAATACTTCTTTAACTCAGACTTTTGTGCCTTCACGACACAAGTGATTTCACTAGTAGGGATTTAATTGATTGATTTTTTTTTTTGGACAACACCACAGTGCTTGGGCATAGTGTAACAGTCTGTTTTCTCTCTCTGCCCCTTGGTACTATTGGGCAGATTTTATGACTAAGTGGTTGTTTTTGAAGCACTGCTTTGTCAGGGGAATTCGCAGCAAATGCCATTTGGGAGACGTTTATCAATTCGCAGCAGTTAATTGATTTTTACATTTCCCCTATTTTTTGCTTTGAAGTAACATTGCAACAGAATAAAGCTTACCTCTTACCACTTCTTCATTGTGCGTCGGTTTAAAGTGCTGCCCAGAATTACAGGGCAGGGGTTACAAATGCACACAAACCGTTGCATAGATTTCGCAATATGTGTAGGTAATTTTTAGGGCTGCAACAACTAATCGATAATGAGAATCGTTGTCAACTATTTATTATCGATTAGTTGATTCCCAAACGCTTGCCTGCCTGCCTATCATTCCCTGGCTGACGCTATTCAAGCCATGTGTGCTTAAAAAGTCCTTTGAAGTTGAAAGGTTACACTAGGGGACAATAGACACCTAATGTTACCTTAAAGGGAACCAGTCTCCTCCAGTGTGCTATCACACAGGGACTTTTGACCCTCCCCCATGTGATGGCAATGAAGTAAAAAAAAAATAAAGGTAAATAAAAAAAATAAATGTAAAATCCCCCGTGAATGTGTGCATACGAACGGAATCGCAAGTCGGGTGCACCTACTTTCGAAAATGATGCTTGCACTACACGTCCAGTATTGCCAGGTTTTGCGACAGCAATAATTCTATTGTATTTGCTTGGAGTTTTTTCCAATTCAGGTTATTTTAATTCCATGAAACTAATTAAAATGTCTAAAATAATACATACAATTATTTAAAAAAAATTATAAAAAGTGGGGAAAAAAGAAATTCAAACTGAACACCCTCCTTGGTTCGTGTCTTCCATACTGCTTCTGTCATTGCATAAATTAGCAGCTCCATACAGCCCTTCAGGTCTTCTGAAGCAACGGGTTCTACTCCAACCTGTTGAGTTCCTAAACCAAAAAGAAGCTTCCACTCTATTTTGGATCTCAAGGCCCTAAATGTCTGTCATAGTCTAAATCTAGCAGGGAGACTTGAAAGACGCACATTTGCATGTCCCTATTTTTCCAGAACTTTGCTATTGGTCATCAGCCCTTCAGTTTGTGACCATGCCATTGGGTCTAGCTTTGGTGTTCACCAAGGTACTGGCCCCTGTACTAGCATTGGGGAGCTCTAAGAGTGTCCTCATTGTGGGATATCTGGAAGACCTGTTAACGGAGCAGTTACCACAGGTTCTGGCCAACAATGTAGCTCTAAGTGTCCAAATTTGAACTTTCAGAAGAAGGTTTACATCAGAGTTTTTCATCCTCACGGGAATCTTCAAATTCTCCTCTCTTTGACTTGTACTCTTTAGTCTAGGATTTACCCAATCCTTTGCTTCTACAGACGTTTCTGAGATCATTCAGAATTTATAATCGGGTGCAAATTTTGCATTCCCCTATATTTTGGTATTTGAAGAAAACAAAAGCCCGTGGACACAGGCCCAAACTATAACCCTCTTGCTTAGTTTTCATTATGATTATTTTGGGGTTTATAAAATATCTGAAGAAAGAACATGATTTAGCAACCATTCAGGTTGTATCAGAAAAGCTTGATGTCAATAATTTATAGTCAATAAGTGTTGGACCCCTTTCACATTGCTGGTCTGGTCTGGTCAGTTTTGAACGCGTACCCGATCGGATGCCCAATGTAAGTCTGTGGGCAATCGTGTGTAAACGGGTGGGTGTCTGTTTACACTCGGTTACCCCTGACTCCGGCCAGGTCCGGAAAAACAAACGGAACAGTGCTCCATTTCACCGGACTGGATCGTGCTTGATCGGGGGTAAACGTGTCTGTTTACATCCGATTCCCCTTAGACAAACATGGGGTCCGGTAATGGCAGTTGTTTCCTCCATTGCACATTTGCTTGTTACATACTTGGGCTTTGTTTCCTTCTTTGTCTAGTGTGACAGATCTATTCTGTGTGTGAAGTCTGGGTCAACTGAACCATTAAGAACCATTTCACTCCCTTTGTGGCCATTTACCCAGTGGCTAACTCAAATCTCTACATATAATACAATAACAAAAATATTGAATGGCAAGCAATTTGTGATATAAAAATTGCTTTAAGGTAAACACTGCGATAACTAAAAATGTGCTCTCTGAAAATACACTACATTTTCTTTTAAATTTTTAGTGCAGTAAGAAAAAAAAGGTCTGACTATAAAATCTGTTCTTCCTTTGGACAATGTTTTGGAAAAGTCATTGTGGTTTGTTTTTTTTCTGTTTGTTTTTTTGAATGATCTCAGAAACGTCTGTAGAAGCAAAGGATTGGGTAAATCCTAGACTAAAGAGTACAAGTCAAAGAGAGGAGAATTTGAAGATTCCCGTGAGGATGAAAAACTCTGATGTGAACCTTCTTCTGAAAGTTCAAATTTGGACACTTAGAGCTACATTGTTGGCCAGAACCTGTGCTAACTGCTCCGTTAACAGGTCTTCCAGATATCCCACAATGGTAGATTTGAACACTGTCCTAACAAAGGGATAAATCTTTTGAGGCATTGTGGGTTTATAAAAGGAAACTTAGTCTGATACTTTAGTTTCACTTTCAAACTCCTCAAAGTAGCATTGGATCTGCACAAAGGCCTAAACCAAAGAAACCGCTAAAAGGTAAGAAATATATTTAAAAAAACAAATATTGGAATGCCTTGTGAGTGGGAACACATAAGAAACAGCGGGGCTTTCTCAAAATTGAGTGCAAAAGTGGAACTACACTGAACAAACTGGACAGGTTTGTCTCCATGTACAGGGATCTCCTGGCAGCGGTGGCTCAGTGGGATCAGTACAGCCTGAACTATACCTTGTCTGCTCTGCAGGGTCAAGATGGAGGGCATTTCTGTGATCTTCATAGGGCTGGCCCAGGTGGATGTGATACTCCAACCAGATCATACTCCTTGCAGATGATCCATTGACACTTCCAGATCATCAGGGACTGGTTTTCTGTCCTGCTTTACGGCTGCAGGCTTTGACAGCATTTGTCTTACGAGCACGCAACAAACCTGTCTTACGAGCGGCATTTGTCTTACGAGCACGCAACAAACCCGTCAAATCATACGATTTTCGGCTGGTTTTCCAACATGCTCGTAAGACAAAAGACGTGTGACCGTACAGTAGAAACGGTCGCACGACTTCCATACACCTGCCGATTATCGTACGATCGCGGGATTTCCCGCGATTATCGTACGGTAATCGGCAGGTGTATGGCCACCTTTACAATGCTAGAAAGTCTACTTTTCTCAAGGTCTGTCCTGACACATAGAAAGCATACTTCACTTGATGAGATGGAATAGACTTTTGCACAGGATATTCTGCGTGAGATTAATATTGTCTTTTCTGGAAATGGGTCCGGGTCAACATTTGGCCTCCCAATACCATCATGGGTCTGATTTCGGCACTTGCAATCTTGTTCCAGAGACTGCTAGTCTCTCATTCTTTAAGACCTTTGTGCAGGGTGTTTATGGGACTTCACCAACGCACTCCCCCTGTGAGTCTGTGGGATCTGAATTTGGTTCTCTCTGCACTTCGGAAACTGTAATTTTAAACCTGTGAGGCATATTCCACTTTCCACGCTCTCCCACAAGGTTGCATTCCCTTTTTTATCAACTCTGCAAGGTGAGTGTCTGAAATGACAGCTTTATCCTGTAAAAGCCCTTTTTAATTTTACACAAGGGCAGGGTGGAGTTGAGGCCTAGAACTTCCTTCCTACCTAAGGTAGTTTTGACCTTTAACCTTAACCAGGACATCACCTCCGCCTGGCTCCAGTTCATCCGAAGGAGATCTCCCTCAATTGCCTGCATGCTGTGTCTGTGTTTACCCTTTAGCTGGACTGCTTTTTATTGTCCCAACAGTCTCATATGTGTCCCTCTGTGAATGCTAAAATGGGATTTTTGTATTTACCATAAAATCTAACTTGTAGTTCATTGAGGAACACAGATCTGTCTATTGCCATGCTCTTGGTACTGCTTTTCCACAAAACTAAGGCATGCTGAATGTAGAAGGGGTTATATCGGACTGGCATGGTTTCAGTTTCTAAATTTTCCTTTAGGCAGCAGCATAACCCAACAGTCTGAATTTATGTGTCTCTCAAATAACTATTAAAATAAATGGATTTTATGGTAAGTACAAAACTCCTTTTTTTATTTTACCTAGAAATGCACACAAATTACCGGTATAATTACAAAATGACAGCTTCACTAACTACACTGATTTAATTCTTGCCAAGAATTGAGTCCCATTTGCTAACTGCCTCCTTTGCCTGCACAAGGTTTTGGACCCTTGGAAGTATATAGAAAATCTTTTACACCCAGCTCTCTGGTGGGTGCACTGAGATAAGTTGTACACACTACACTCGCTATCTCTACTGACTTGCATGTATTTCAGTTAACTTTAAGGTTTAGGCCATTTACTGCAATACATTTCACTCCATCTGTAAAGTTTTTTATTATTGTGCATAGCTGTACTGGTCATCATTACGTTCTGTGTCACGTTTTTAATTTTTCTTTGTTTAATTGGCAGTTTTGTTTCATACTCCATTTTTGCTTTTGTATTTTATTTATACAAATCTCTATTTGTATCAACTACTCTAATACATTTTTCTTTCAAGGTCCTACCAAAGATTTTGATGAAGCTCTCTTCCTGTCTTAGTAATCTCTTATTCTTTGCAGTAACTGGGCATTCTCTAACCTTCTCTAATGCTGTATCTTTCCTCTGATACCTGTCTTTCCTATCCCTAAACTGCCATTTACTCTCTTCCTTCATTTCTGTTTGGGTGCTGTGTACTCTGGTATTAAATGTGGAAAGTTTGATTGCCAGGATATCTTGATGGCTATTTTTTTTTTTGTAATTTTATTTTTGTTAAATTTCTTTCCTTCTAGACTGAAGGCAGGCAAACTGGTTTTCTGACTAGATACCCCTGACAGTTGAGAGTGTTCTTACCACAATACAATATTAGGCATAGCACATAAAGCTTCTAAGAAATATAGATTTCCCTCTAGCAACCACTTAGCATACCTATTTCATTTTTTATCCTGCGCTAGCAAAAGAGAAAAAGTGACTAGTTGTCAGTAGCTGCTCTTAATCAGAAATTGCATACGAAAGGCCTTTTGCTTGTGCGAGGCCTAGGTGACAACTGTTAAGGGTACACAGTTATTGTTTCATTGATCAGCATTATGGTGTAGAACATTATGCTGACTGGTATGTTTTTACCTGTAGAAACACATTTTTCTGCCTCCAGTCCAGAATCCGCAGTCCATATCTGTGCTGAATATGGTAATCATTGGTCATGTGTTAGTCTTTACCACCTGCATGTTTGAATGATTCGCTAGCCATCCATGTGAGATTTCCTTAACATTTCAAAGTTTAAGTGTGCTACATGCACTCAAATATAAAACTTACACTGTTTCTACTCCGTTCCCTCCCTGTGTCAAAACAAATGACTACTATGTATTCAGATGAATGTGTTTTCCCATACTTGTCTTGGATGACTACATTTTAGTTCTTCTTGTACAATACATAAGCCAACCATTTTTTCTGACCAAACTCCTGCATTTCCTTTGTACTGACCTTTATTTTATTTTCTCCCCACTTCTTTTTTTTATTTTGTTCTGCATCATCTCCTACCCTACCCCCTTACTCCTTTACATCCTTATCCCCCCTGTGTGTGATGTTCTTCCTGTTCCTCAATGTCTTCCAAACACTGCTGTCAAACCTCTTCCCATATCCTGTGTCTGTTTTCACCCTCCCCCTCAAACCCTATGTTCATGCTTCTTTGCTTGAACAATATGTTCCTCGGACCAACTTGCCCCAATTAACTGCCTTGAACCATGATCCATGACCACCTTCACCATTCTACGGGAACCACCCTTCGTTATGGATGATCTGTTCATCTCCGCTCTTCCTCGACTCTTCTCTCTTCTTGTCTTACGCTGCTTGCTCTTCTCTCCTTCTAAAGATGGTTTCGCCCCAAAGTCTGTTTACCCTCTTCGGTATGTTATTGTTAGCACTATACTTTTATTATTAATTTCATTTTTATTTCACTTTTTTTTTATAGTTAGCACTTTAGCATAAAATTTGAATAGTATTTTTTTCTTTTTATTTTCTGCTTTTTTTTTTCTTATTTCCTCTTTTTATTTTTTTGTTTTATTTTCTTCTCACCATAGACGCATTATTTTAATGCATGTGAATTTATTTTGCATGGTCTTTAATTTTGTTGTCATTCACATAGCTATGAGGGTATATAAAATATATTCTTATCCAAAATTCACTGTTCAAGACTTGATCTGCTTTTCATTCTTGTGAATGTCAGGACTGGTTGAATGATACTTTTGGTGTCTGGTTGTCTCAAATGATCTTAATGTAGTTCATTAGACCTCAGTTTACGTGTTTTTTTTGTTTGTTTTTTTGTTTTTGCATTTACTTTTCTGTCAATCTGATGTAAAGGTGTTTATGGGGATGTGCAGCGTGTGAAGATTCTGTACAATAAGAAAGACAGTGCGCTTATACAGATGGCTGATGGAAACCAGTCCCAGCTAGGTAAGAGAGGTTTTGTTGTATTTTCTTTGTGTGTTATATTGCTGGCCTTTTCCGTAAAGGTTTAAACGACTAAGCAGTGAAGGTTTCGACTAAGCACTGAAGGTTTACACTGCTCAATCCTTCGTCGGGATTCTAAAGTGACACTAAACTGAGGAGTTAAATCTTAAAAATGCATTCAAGTATCTTAAATATTTTGTACCTTATTTGTGTATCACTCGGCTGTAGATCCTCCAATCATCTCTGAATTGGTGCTGACACTGTCCTTATTTCTGGAGGGGGGATATTTTTTTTCCGTGTGTAAAGAAGCCACTGCTCCAAGCTTGCTCATCTGATGGACTATAATCTCAATACAAATTTGTACACTAAATGTTAGATTATAGTGCATCACAGGAGTGAGCTTGGAGTGGTGGCTACTTTGCAACACATGCTATGGGGAACAAACTCAGACATGATTTGAGAATCTACAGCTATGTGATGCACAAATAATGTACAGTTTTAATAGTTAAGGTGCTTCAGTGTTTTTTTAAGATTTACTCCTGAGTTTAGTGTCACTTTTAAGTCTGTACTGCTTTGTCAGAAAGAGCTTAATATAGCATCCTATTAGATGTATATGAAACCAGAATGCCTTTTAGAAGTAGGCTGTGCTGGAAGTTTTTTATTTGCTTATAGAAATGTGAAGAATCTACTCAGAGGTCCCATCCACTTAAAACCTGTGGGTACTGGTCCAAAGGGGTTTAGATTTGTTCATAAGCATGGTATTTTCCACAAAATTTGTTTTGTAGCTGTGTATCGGGATTGTAGACTGAAAGCATTAGACTGAAATAGAAAAAGAGATTGCGGAGGACAGAGTCCTAAAGCTCTTTTTCTGCAGCCCCAGCACTAAATGAACAAGCCTCTATACTGAATGTTCCTGTTCATTCATACATTGTGGATATAGTATGAGATACTATGTCCGCAATTGTGAATGAACAGGAATTGCTGAAGATCACTTCCCATTCATTCATAACTGGTACATAGTAACTCACACTATGTCCAGTTTTTTACAAATATTCAGCTGATTGCTGAATGTTTATACTCAGCTTTCCATGCTGAATCTTTCCATGCCGGCCTCTTTTTAACGATCACACTGCTTTCCATCCTAACGCAGGGGGAGAGTTTCGCCTCCTGCAACGCTGTCAGCGATCTCTTCCCCCACCACTTGGCATCCTGAAACCTTCAGGAGGTTTGGACACTGGCAAACATATAACTGTTAACCAGCCCAGGATAACCCCTACTACTACCAGCATGCCTCAAATTTTTTTTACTAGTGTTCTAGAAGGATGGATATTTTTTTCTTAGCTCTGCTGTGTAAAAGGCTAACCTATTTTTGCTAGCACTTTAGACTCTTCTCTACATCACTGCTAAACTTTTCTTCAATTGTAGCAATCCTTAGACTTGTTTCTGGAGTGTCACGTCTGCATGCTACTGGATGTTGTAGTCTGAAAGTGATCTTCGGGCCCTGGGTTTCCCATGGGGCCCTTTCCAAAATACTTTCTGGTAAAACTTAGTTGCTGAGCATTTTTCATGTCCAGAGCTTATGGCATTGCCTCAGCGTTTGCCCAGTCTCTGAAGTCTCACTTGAGTAGACATGTCAGGCCCAATATCAGCCTGTACTGGGTAACCCCAGCTCACTCTCTACAACAGCTCCTGGCTGCTTGCAGCGCACCTACTGATGGTGTCGACATCTGCAGCCTGGAATCATGTTGTCCCCGGCTCCTAGAGTCTATGCCTTCTTCTGAGTCCTCCTTAGCTCTGTTGGGTGTGGCTGGAACCTCTACCCTCTTGGCTGAAGTTTTTACTACAGTTATGCAAGACTTTTTTTCACTCCAGACCTTTACAACACAACAATCTGTCATGGGACAAATCAATCAGGCCCCTAAGCAAGCTGATTCGTTCGATGCGGAGGACCAGGTTGTGCCTAGCTTTGTGGCACAGGAATCCAGCTCTATAGTCTGAAAAGTCCTTCCTCCCTGTCTTTTTGAGAATCTTCACAATGGTTGCCAGCCTGGGCACCTTGTTGATGCAGGGAACTTGGTCATAGTTGGAGTCTTGTCGCCTATCCTGGATCCCTGGGGCAATGTGCCTGTTTCTGCAGTGTTGGCCTATGCTACTGAAAAGTCAGTCAGTGTACTGGCAGTGGCACATACATCAATTGTCAGGAAACAGCCAAAAGTCTTGCTGCTGCAAGAAAAGTAGATCAGATCTTGTCCAGGCTTAACTTCATGTTGCAGCCTTGTCCTTGGCATACATCCCAGGTGTAGACAATTGGCAGACAGACTTCCTCAGCCAGGAGCACCTAGATTTGGGGGAATAGTCCCTACACCCAGAGCTATACGAAGACCAGTGTCGCAGGTGGGGTACTCCATATGTGGGCCTCCAGGTTCACACCACGCATACACACAGAGGAGTTAATTAATTGTGACACCGAAGAAATGCTCACAATGTACACTTGTAAGCTGATCCGTGAGTGTACATCTCACTCGGAAGAAAACTGTGTTAGAGGGTAAGGCAGAAGCTTTTATCGCATAAAATAAATAGTCTCTTTCGCATTAAAAGTCGGTAAGCTGCTGTAAGACCGTGTTACAGATGTTCCCCAATAGATGAGCATTCTCACTAGATTAGTTGTGGTTATTTAGTAGTATTATTGGAGGTTTGGATTTTTAGCAGCTTGCATTAAAGCACAAATTAACTTTGTGTTTATAACACTCACTAATTTAATTAGTCATTGTTTTGTTCTGTTTTTGCAACGTAAAATCCAAATCGTTGTAATTACGTTTCCCCAGGATAATACTTGTTTACTTATACTGGATGACACACTTCCAGATTGTAATTGGATTAATAACCGTTTTTAAATTACATTTAGTCTTATGTGAAATTAGGAAGTAATTTAGTAAGTAAATAGGTTGAAAAATATGCATAGCTTGGGATGGATGCAATTTATAACCCAAATTTTGTATGTTACAAATGTATTTAGTATGCATGTTGTTTTGCAGCCATGAGCCACCTCAATGGCCAGAAAATGTATGGGAAAATTATCAGGGTTACACTGTCCAAACATCAAACAGTCCAGCTACCTCGGGAAGGGCTTGATGATCAAGGGCTAACAAAAGACTTTGCCAACTCCCCTCTACATCGTTTCAAGAAGCCTGGCTCTAAAAACTTCCAGAATATATTCCCACCTTCAGCAACTCTTCACTTGTCTAACATTCCGTGAGTAGTGCCACTTTTCTATTGCTGCAATCGCCCGAGAAAACATGGTTCTTTTTATGTAAAGCACTTAGCAATTGATATGTAAACATTTCAAGGAAGAAAATAAATGTAATTCATGAATTTGGGCTGACACTGTCCTTTCTTCTAGAAGCTGGCTACTTTGTTTCCCATGGTCCCTGTGTGTAATGCAAGGTAGCCACCGCTCCAACCTCACTCTCATGATGGACTACAATCTCAATACAAATTAGTACTGAACTAACCATGAGATTGTAGTCCATCATGGGAGTGAGTTTGAAGCGATGGCTGCTTTACAACACACACATGGACCATGGGGAACAAAAGTAGCCACCCTCCAGAAGGAAGGACAGTATCAGCAGCAATGCAGAGAAGATTTGAGGATCCACAGCTGAGTGATAAAAAAAATAAGATACATTTTTGTTAATAGTACTTGATGTTTAAGTTATAACTCCTGAGTTTAGTGTCCCTTGAGATTTCAAGGTTCTGAACACATTAGAACCTGTGTGTGTGTGATATATATATA